GCCCGTTAAACTCGCTGCCCGCGCTGCTTCTCCTGCCTCGGGAGCTCGGGTTGGGCTGCGGGGCTGGGAGACAGCGGAGCGGGAAAAGACGAGGGGAAATACGGCTTTTGGGGAAGGATAGAGTGGTGGGAACTGGGATGAACTATGATGGGAATGGGGAGAGCGCCACCAGCCTCGTTATCCRCTGGGTCTAATGGACCAAGAGGGGCTGTCCCCAAACCTGGCTCCTCCTCGCGTTCCTGTTCAGGCTCCGGGAGGGATGGGGACCCTAGAGCCACCCATGGGTGGCCCTCCATCCATTCCCCATRTCCCCTTTGCTGCTGGCCGGTTCCCAACCACGGAAGCTGATTCTCCCCTCCAGGACACCAGGCCTCCTGTGTCCTGCTGTCCCCCACAAAATATTCAGCCCAYGTGAGGCCCAGGAGCAGTTTTTCCATCCCTAAATCCCCCAGAAAGGCAGCACAAGGTGSGTCTTGGTGACAATATCCTTGGCACCTCTCAGCAGGGCACCTCGTAGCTCCCCACTGGCCAGCGCTGCCAGCACAAGCCCTGCTCAGCAGGGCAATTTTTGGAAACCTCAGATCYGACTCATCCCAACAGCAAGGATGAGTGGTGAGGTCTATTCTCAGGGACAAGCTCAGCCTAACTCCCCTCTCACAGTGRTGGCCAGAGAGGATGCATCCCCACCAATAAATTTGGGAGTCAAATTGGTGTTTGAGGAGCATCAGACCCAAATTGTATTAGTTCTTCTTGTCCAAGCATTCATCTCCTGCTCTGTCCCAGAGAATTCCCAAAACCACTTTGCTCCTCTAAAAATCTATCAAATCCCTTATCAAATCATTCTGTGATTCTGCGAAATGGCTGCAGGAAGTGGAGTGGCTTAAGAGAGACAAGGAAAAGTTCCTCCTTTGTGCCTCGAAAGGCAGAAATTCAGGGAAGAGGAGTCAGTCTGTACATGGAGTCCAAGCAGCGTCGCTGTCACTGGCCTCTGTGGCATCTTCTTGTCACGCTGTGATTGTTCAGCCGCGTGGGGACAGTCACTCTCAACTCTCCCAGGGCTCCATTCGAGCTGCAATCCGAGCAGCTCCGCAAGAATAGGGCTTTGTTTCAGCCTTTCTTGGAAGGAAGGAGCAGGATGGACACTTCCATGTCAGCTGCACTGGGGAGAATTTGGGGTGTAATGACAGGGAATGGGGTGTCTGGGAGGAGCCTGCACTTACAGCTGGAGTCCAGGGGGGAAAAGGTCCTCAAAAATGTCTCTCAGTCCCCTTTTCAGACTGACARAAAGCAACACATCTTCCACTTATATTTAGCTCTCTTAACCTGTGGAGACTGCTAGCAGGAATCTTCACRTGCTAAAAGCAAAATGAGCAGAAACAAAGAGGAAGTAGTAAAACAAGCACCTTTCACCTATTCCCTCCCTCTATAAACCAGGCAGATGATCAAATGTATTTGTCTTTATTACAAGAAAATGTCTGGTAACAGCACAAATTTCTTGCGACAACCTTGTAAGCACAGAGCTCACAGTCATTTTGTGGAGGCTCAAGCAGCCGTGAAAGAGAAACTTCCATTTCCCAGGGAGGGCTCTGCAGCGGATGGATAATCCTTCCTTGGCTCAGCTCATCTGTGCTAGTAGCTCTTCGAGTTCYGGGCGAGACTTTAATCGCATCTTGAAGTCGGCTTCTGTGTGCTGCGAGGAGAGGGGAAAAACAGAAGGAAATCAAAAGTCACCTCGAGTGCTTTGCTAAATCCAGAGGAAGACTAACACCATCCCACTGAGGAGCAGGAAAAACAGCAGACTTAAGTGTTCCCCAAACTCATGGAAGCCTGAGTTTTGTTGGGAAGCAGGTTTGTAAGAGCAGCCTAAAGTCTTAAACTCTCTTCTATGTTGTTGGTCCTAGAAAACCCACTTGGGTCTCTCCTATGGGCTTCCTGCATCAGACTACAGTGACTCTGCAGAAGGCACAAAGTGACAGTTCTACCTCTAACGGACAACAATCAGCAGCCAAAATATCAAAAGAAATAGCAGCCCTAAGGCAGAAACACCAGCCTGTGACCAAAGCAGGGAAGATTACTGGGCTCAGGAGACTTTCTCCTATATTCCCCCTGTTTTTGCAGAGCTAGAGACAACTGAATGGTCTTCAAAGGCCACTAAGAAGCCAACAGTAGTTTCATACTTGAATTTAATGCATCTTCCAGCTGCAAAATCTTTTAGTCCTTGAATAAACTTCTGGGACTGTTTTGTCTAAATGTCAAACAACAAGGGTTTAAGTCCAGTCCTTATCTCCAGTCCAGTTAGGAACAAAGCTCAGTCCTGAAGCCCTCAGAGCTCTGGAAAGAGGTAGGGGTTTGTCTAGAAGGCAAACGTAGCTGCTTAGAGCAAACTCCTTGAGAGCAGGACCCAGGATTTGGAGGCTGAGTCCTAGCTTTAGGAGCACATGAAAGCAGCATCCCAGAAGTGTATGGGATTGCCTGGAAAAGCACCTTTGGGAGCCCAACTTATTTCCATTTCCAAGCAAAAAATAAAACAAAATAGATTATCAGTATTGCTTTTTTTCCCCCACAGATTGAGGTCCAGTTTTGGGAGACACTGGGAATGTGCAAATGAACAGCAGACCCTGAAAGCCTTTAGAGAAGTTCCGTAGTTTCAAATCAAATCCATCACATATGTAACAACTGCTTTCCATTTCCTTTTTTTTTTCTCCCCTGCATTGGCAAAATTAAACGTACCTCTTTCACTAACAGATCGACCCCTTCAGGCTGGTTACTCTGAATAATTTCCAAGAGAATCGGAGCAAACGTCGAACTCAAACCACAGATCTGAAAGCAGAAATAAAGTAGTGCAGAGGTTTGGCACACAGCAAGTGAACACACTAACAGGAAGAAAAGAGGCTCTGAGGAGAAATGCCTATTCACCTCAATGGTTACTGGAGCGCTTTTGAAATACTGATGCTATTTCTATTTTTGATCATGTTTGTGCAATCAGTCATCCTTAAGCGCAACTTTTCTACTCTTTGCATCTAATATTCTGCATAAAAGAGGTAATAAATCCCACRGCTGGAACTGAGGAGCCAGAAAGCCCATCTCTCTGGCTTCTACTTTGAGAGTAACAGAGTAACCTTTAGCAAGAAATCTCCTTAGACTTTGCTGAGAGGCATAATCGTGTGTGAATTGACTCATGTTTGATCAAGGGACTTACCTCCTACGGTTAATGGGGTTTTGAGAGCCTGAAATAGTTAGTGCTGCAAAAAAGAGCAGCAGAATTATCAGCAAACACCAGGTCATACCTGGACAACCCTCTGGTGGGTAGTAAGGACTGCGCCCAGCTGCATTTTGGAACCCCGCTCTTCCAAGAACAGCACTTCGTTGGTCTTGGTGGGCATCGCGTAGCTGCAGAAAACACAGGGCAGGTTTTCAGGATGGAGAGGATAGACTTGAACCTCTTAATAGGAAGGAATCAGCTTCCCACAGCAGAAAACATGGAAGAAGATTAAGTTTTCATGAGGAATTARTTATGCAAACAATGTATCTTGCAAATCAAGCGCTGGCAGAAGCCGGGTGCTTTACTGGAAAGAGATAAGGGAGAAGTTGGCAGCATTACTGCCAGCAAAGGCCTCTTCCAGCTCTGAGAACTTTAATTTCTTTACTGTTGAAGGAGAGCTGGAAAGCTAAAGCGATGACTTATTTTGTAATCATCTATTTATCCTCATCAGCAGCCAGAGCCTCCCCCCGGTCAGGAACGTGCTGAGAAACACTGCTGCAACACACCCCTTGCAAGACATTATTTTCCCYAGAGGAATAGAAAAGGTTTAAGATCATGCACCAGATCTGCTCTCCTGTTATCCATGTAAATATCCATGTAAATCCACCTCAGCCTCTGATTTTCACAGCATCAAGAACACACTCAATCCCACTACCTGCACCACTAACCTTCTCAGTATTTGGGTTCAGCTAGAGATTTCCTATCTCTGTAGGACAATTTTGAGCAAACCACACAAGTTTCCCCTGCTTCAATTTTTCCACCTGCAGAGAGGGACAAAAATACTCCCTTCTCTCTTATTTTACCTCATCCATTTTTTCCTTTTTGAAGAACAATCTCTGTTTTTCTGCCCAGGCTGAAGTGCAGCCTCAGAGGGCACAAGCAGGACACGCATAAGGATGCTTTACGTTTACAAATGGTCTCAGGATTTATCTGTGAAAGCTTCCAGTTCATCATTGGTTGGTTGCTGTAACTTGTGAGTGTCACTGAGTACCCTTCTTGGAACAAGACCCACCAGGATCCTTGATGGGTCCCAGCTTCTAGTGCTGTTTGGTGCAAAAAGGCCTCGTAGATAGATGATTGATCTACAGGATGGCAGATCCAAGGCTGGCAGTTCAGTGAGGTGGATGAATGTACAGAAAGTGGTTTTTTTGATAGGTTTAATGAGCTTGAAGCAGGAATCAGTGTTTAYAATCAGAGGTTTAGTTAAAAGACACACATTTCAGATCATTTGGATAATTTCAGACCATTATTTTACTTCAATAGAGCAGTGTAGTGCTTCTCTGCAGCTCCTCCACAACATACAGAGGGAAGAGCCTTGGTGAAACAACAGGAAGAAAAAGCAGTGGAAAAACTCTGCAACACTCCTGGCTGCAGCTCTAGGCTCAGCACCCACAGGCTCATGCCCTTTTCTCAAAGAAATGAACAGCAACAGCTATTCTTTCCCTTGAGATTTATCCATTCAGCATCTTAACGATCCTATTTCAGCCTTACATAAATAAGTTTCCAGAACTGACAACAAAGGCAGAGCCGGGTTCTTTGTACCTCTCGTTGACCCGAATCGAGAGCCGGTTGCAGAGTCTGTGCACATGTTTAGCAAAATGCTCCACGAGACACATGTCGTAGGAAGTCATCTGGATGTTGATGTCCCCGTACTCGTGTTCAGTCCCAACATTTACTGCCTTCATCTGTACTCGATCCTTTCTCTTCTTTGGAGCCTGCAAAACAAGCAAATACATAGAAAGGGCCAATCTGGTTTGGACACAGCTGGAAACATAAAAAAGCAAGAAAAACAAAAAGCTCTTGCCCAACATGGGAGACTATTCTAGTGGTGAGGGTGCTCTGTTCTGAGAAGAGCTTGTTAACTATGTTAAAAGAAAAATCCTAGCCCACCTCTTCTCACTTTCCCTTATAGGGATGACGTTATTTTAACAGATGTTCTGAAACGGAGCAGTTCAGTTCTTGGATGGCGACACCACTGAAGTCACACAGAAAATACAGGCACACCATGATTAATTTCTTCCAGAAGAAACCAACCAGCAGAAAGCAAATTGCTTTTATTTGAGTTCCTGCCTTCAAGGCAGCTGTCAAGATGAGTTATTGTTTCCCCGTTCCTCAAAGACTGTCTTCTTTCCAAATTTCAGGGAACGCAATATGTTTAAAGGCAAGGAAGACCTGCTCACAACACTCAGCAATAACTTGAAGCTGGGTTGTTAAAAGCAACACGAGGAAGAGATTCTTCCCTCACAAATTACTTAGAAGATTAAACAATGTCCAGCACACAAGGAGATATCGACGTGCTGTCAGTGGGTTCTTCATAAGAAAGAACCATCTCAATGAAAAAAAGTACCAATAAACTTGTCACTTTGCTTGAATTCCTTCTTAATACACTTCATCAGCCATGGAATGAATAGTTCCAACATGTTATGTAGATCCATAAATCGAAAGCGAGACGAAGTAAGGGAGCTCTTCTACCTACCTCCTTTGGGAGCAGATATTTAAACCTCCCAATGCCATGTGTAGGACGGGATCTGTAGTGTCTGTGGCAACTCACAMGGGCATCACCTGAAAAGGAAAGCAGAGCAAACACGTTTCCAAGGGGACACCCCTTCTTCTGCAAACAGCGAGAGCCCCCAAATCCATGCAGGGCTCTCAGGGTTTGTCCTTAGCAATTGTTCCCAGAGGGCAAAGTCTCTGTCCCAGCAGCAAATAAAGGAGGAAGAGATGAAGGAGCCTCATTTCCCAGGTGAATTCTCAAGCAAACAAACAAAAGACAGACCTGTCAGAGCCAGTGCACGGTGAGGATACTAATGAAACGCTCCATCTGTCTCCTTTTCCGTGGTGGCAGCACGGTATTATGATGGATCTGAGCCCCACTTAATTTTAGCTCTAGCCCTGTTCAAATATCCACGTGCTARGAAACCAAACCAAATTGGTATCAGCTTTTATTTCTACTTCCTTCTCCAGGGTGAAACGAAAGCCTGGATGGCCTTCGTTTTATTAAAAYGAAGCTCAAAACAGCAAAGAGTAAGTGAACTCCAAGGATCCAAGGCACTCGSTTCCATTTATCTTCCACATCAAAATCAAATTCTATTTTAAATTGCTACAGAGGACTCCACCAGTTCAATAAATGTTCACAGGGGACCTCACAGGTGTTTAAGTGAGTTCCTGGGCAGTAATAAAGGGAATAGTTTCTGACAAAGTGCTCCACAGCATAAAATGCCACCGGAGCAGCTGCTCAACTGAGGACAGAATAGAGGAAAAGGTAAGAACAGAGGTACTGGTAGAACTAGGATGGCACCAGCCCGGTTGTTCAACCAACCCAAATGTGTCTCAAAAAAAAAATATTCCAAAGCCAACAGAGACACTCAAATGCAAACTATTCATTTTGGGTAAGAAACATTTTGCATTGAATTAAAAAATGAAGAGGTCTTACCTGCAGCACACAGGTGGTTTTCGAGGGGAGTTGCTGCTCTAGAGAGAACAAAGAAGTGGTTAAAAGCTGCTGTTCCCCCCAGTTATGGGGACACCCCGTCTGAACAGTGCCCTGGAACGAGGGCTCCTACACCCAGATACCCTCGGACATAGATGACACCCTGAGTGTGTGGCCAGCAAAACGAACGAGGATGAGACCCTCTCCTCAATCCACAATGAGGATTTCAGTGCATTAAATAAAACGTGAAGAAACCRAAGGGTCTTTTTGAAGGAACCAGACTTCTACATCTTCCTCTGCCTCTTCCTGCTCCAAAACTTTAAAAGGAGGCATTTCTGCCCTCCGTTACGACCCAACCCTGCCTTTGCTGCTAGGGCTGGACAGTGAGGAGCTGCCAACACCTTTAGTTCTCGCTGCAGCACAAATTCCACCTGGCGAACCCTGCATTTTTTTTAAATTATTTTTATTTTTACCCTACTTTACCCTCCTGTAGCACTTTCTTCCTGATTTTCCTTGGCTATATATATATATATATATATATTCTTTTATCACATATCTTTTGTGGCACAGCCTGTAGAACGGTCTGAGTGTTTTTAACACCTCTCACCGCACCTTATGCATCGGGTTTGACCTGAGGGCACCCACCTGTACAGCGCAGACACCGGCTTCAGCCAGGCCGTCGTTTTCACGCACAGAACCTGCCAGGAACCACCAAAACAGTATTTTTAATTAATAATATTAATTAATTAAAAAATACAAATACTTGTGAAGTTTTCATCAGTGCTTCCCAGGACACATCCCTCCAAATGGCTCCTGGGACCCTCTCGGGGCCCCAAAACATCCACCTGAAAGATGGATCTGACCCGAAATCCCTCCTGGTACCAGGTCTGACCCATTTCCCTTTCACCGGTACCGATTTTACCGGTACCTGGGTGGGACAGGACAGGACGAGACCGGACCGAATCCTTCCTCCCTCCACATCCCTACCCGGGCCCGGYTCCCTTTTCTTCCCACCAGTACCGGGCCCTTCGCCCCCTTCTCCCGGTACCAGAACCGGGCCTGATCCCTCCTCCTCCTCCCTCTGGTACCGAGGCGGTTCCGCCCGGCTCCTGAGCCAATCGCCCCTCTTCCCCCCACCTTTCCCCCCCTCTCCCCATGGCGGAACCGAACCCGGTACCGACGCCCTGCGCTACCTGCCGCAGCGCCGCGCTCATGCTGACCCGCGACAATGGCGGCCGCGTCCGGCGGGCAAAGCGGCCCCCCGCGCTGCCTCGGTGCACCCGGCGCGGCGCGCCCCCTCCGCCCCGCGGCCCGAGCCCCGCGTTCCGGCCCACCTCCGGCTCTCTAAGGCAGAATCTCACTGCGGTAACGGGGAGACTGCAGCTGTTTTAACGCCGTTGGTTTTAGCAGGAATATGCAGACAGGACACGCCGCGGTTTATTTAACTCATGAACTCATGTGCTTTTTTTGTCCAAAAAAAGCACTGTATGAGAGGCCTTGGGAAAAACAAACAAACAAACAAACAAAAAGCTCCACAGCTTTCTTGGAAAGCTTTTTTTTTTTTTTTTAAGACTAGGCATGTCTTGGGGGAAGGGGAGGGTTTTTTTCTCTCCTGTGTTTGCAGCACGTGGACTTGTGGGTTACATCATCTCTGCTAAAATAAATAGCGTGCGCCACGGCACAGCAAAGATCGATGCAGTTAATTTGCGGGGTTAATTAGTGACTCTTCTAGGTCAGACGGAGCCTGTGAGCAGCAGCATGCTGGGATGCGCTGATCCTGCAGGGCTGCACTCCGGCTGGCACCACCAGCAGCCAGGATCTGCCCAGTCCTCTGTGYTGGACAGTGACCAACATGCAAGTCACAGCACAACCATTTGGAAGCCGCTGTCTGGAGGGGCTGCTGAGGCCACCCCCAGCCTGCACGATTGCCCCTTTGGGGTTGAAGCAGGTGATATTGGTGCAATGATGTGAAATGTCGTCCAAAGATGTAATGCTGAAGAAATATGCAAGAATGCAATGCAAGGACAAGCAGGGGGGCTTTCCCTTGTGGCGTGCCGGGTGAGCCTGCAATGTCCCCATTCCCTTTGTCCCACTGGGGCCCCATCAAGTACCACTGGTGTCACCGGCCAAAGAGCAGAGCAACGTGGCAGCTCTGCACGGCGCACCCAACGCCACCGCCCAGCGCCACCCTACCCTGCTGGTTCCGTCCCACCCCCCCCTCGGGCTCTGATTGGCTTTCCTCAACGTCCATCGAGCCTGATAGGCGTGGGGGCAGCTCTGCGGCACGTTGGGGTGGCCATGTTGAGTGTGGCCCGCACAAGCGGCTACGTGGAGCGTGGCATGGCGCGGTGCGGTGGCCATGTTGAGTGTGGCCTGGCCAGCCTCGGGGCGGCCATGTTAACGTGGTCAGGAGATGCTCTGAGGGAAAGCAGCCATGGAGGTGTTAAAGCCTCCTTTGTGCAACCCAAACCCACCTCTTTTCTGCTCCTCTCCCTCCTGTCTGTCCCCACAGGAAGCTTTCCCGCTCCAGGGCACAGACCTGCTCATGTGGAAGGGATGTTGCACCACCCTTTGAGCCACGCAGCAAAGATAATGCCGGTGCCACCAGGATAAGAGCAGAGTTTCAGCCAGGCCAGGCCCAGCACTCCCTTTCCAGGAGAGCTGGACTTCTGTCCCAGTGGACTTTGAAGCCCTGGAGGACATAATGCTTAAGGAAGGGCTGCTGTGGCTGGAAAGGGATCATCTGCTCCTGTGGTGCATGGAAACAAGGGAATCATATGTGCCAATCCCATGTGGAAAGCGATTCCTATGTGGAAAATGGTTCATTCCTGTGTTGAGCCCCCTCAAGCACCATCAGGGCTCAGGAAGGGGGTCTACAGCCCCCCCATTCCCTTCATCCCTACTAGGGATTGATCTTCTGTGCAGGACATGTGGCTGAGGACAGAGCTGCACGGCTGAAAATATTACTGGAATTCTCCCTCCCCCTCCTCCTTCAATGGCCATCCTTGTCCTCGGAAACGTCTCGGGGAAAGAACAGCCTGTGCCTGGATGGCAGCGCTATCCTGATATCTTGCAGGGATTTTTAAGAACAAAAAGGGCCATTCTAACATACAGTTTTTGTCTCCGTGCTGCACGCTGTGCGTCTCCTCTGAGCCGCGTCTGCCTGGAAACAGGGCTCCCCTGCCTTGACAAGASCATTGCCCTCCAAAAGGCTCCAGAATTTGCCTTTTTTTTTCCCCTAACACAAATACAGCACCACTGTTGGCACTTTGCTGTCATCCACAGACACCTAAAACACTCTTTTTTCCTCCCAAAATGCCCTCATCTGCTGATAGGAGCCATATAGGCCTTGTTGGAGGGGTCATTCCCTCCATCCTCAGCCATCCTTTCTCTCCCATTTTGCAGCAAGATTTTTCCCATTATCTGTCCCAACATGGTGCTTAGAGCAAATGAAGCAAAGATGATGCTTGAATGGTATTTTTTTAGCTATCCCAAAGGTTATGGGCCCTCCTGCCCCATCTCTTGGTCTCCACCATGCTGTCCAGAGCAGTAAAGCTTCCCTAGGACAGTGTGGAAGTCTCCACTTGCTTCCTAACRTGTCTGGTTGCAAAGATAACAAAGCAAAAGGCATTTACATACAACTTATATATGTATTAAAATCTATATTGGAACTATTTAAGCCAGCTCCGTGCCAGTTTGGGTTCCCTCTCCGCTGTCTTAGCAGGAGACAGTGCTGCAGGGAAGCGCTTGCAAATGCCAGGTGCGGAGCAAAATGACATTTCTTGCTCATGCCCTTATTAAAACGTATTTGAAATTCAATCACCGTATTAAAGGCACATTTTCAGTTCACTGGCAGTTCAAGGCTGGGGGGAAAAAAAAAAAAAAGCAAAAACTTGGAAAAGCTGTTAATCACGTTGAAGCAATATGAATGAAACGATCAAAAATAGAAAGGATGACTATTTGGTTTTCAAAATACTTTCTTATTTTGCTCCTGAATCATAGGCTCTGGTAGGGGTGAGATTCATGTCCGAGAATAAATCCCTGGTGCAGAGAAGTTCAATGACAATTTCCATGCAGCAGACACAGGTGGAGGGCAGAGGTCTCAAATGAAGACACCGAATGAAGGATATTTATGGCTAAGGGTGACCCCATTTCAAGCAAATCCTTACCCTATAGCTGCATGGAGCTTATCCCATAGTCTTATCCTATAGCTATGYGGACCTTGCTCTGTAGCTAGGTGGACCACTGACAAATCCAGCATACGGTAAGGAATTAGCTTTGCTCCATGAAGTTTTCCAGACATGGTGGTTTAGCTCTTTGTCCTGTGGAGATGACCTCAGAGCAGGCAGAAACCTCCCACATGGAGAAATGGTGGAAAATCTGCCTGTTCCCAAGTGGAAGGGGGGCTGTGATAGGGGGATGCAAATGCAATCAGCCCAAACGTACCCAAATCCAGACTTCTTCCCGGAGGCTGCTTTGGTTTTGGCTGGATTTGATTCCTGCAATCCAGAAGGTTGCTGAGAGCTTCCTCCGTTTCTGTGCATTGCTGATCCAGGTGCCCAGGCTCCCTGTGGCTGCCTGGGCAACCGGTGCCGTTTTTCTCCAACAAAGCAAAAAATAGAGGTGTGAGGTTTGCAACCTGTTACCCCAAGCGAGCGTGGAAGCGGGAGGCACTGCGGATGCTGCGGCTCGGGGAGGACAGRGAGGAGGGAGAGGCTTAGGCGGTGACTGCAATTAGCAAACTCGTCTGGGGGTCCAGAAGGGCTTGTGGGATCCTCATGGGGGTCGAGAGATGGGATGAAGAGTCTACCATGGCCTCAGGAAGGGATGGATGGGCATGGGGATGGCCCARGCAGCAGCAGGGTGCCCAGTGCTGTTGCCATCTGCGGTGACCAGGGGCTTGGGCAGGGGGACGGGTGCTAGAAGAGGTCGAGTGCTAGGGGAGGGGGTGTGAAGGGAATGCCTTTGCAGCTCAGAGGCACATGAGGACCACAGGCCATCGTATGGAGAGCATGGGAGTGCCTTTGCTTTTCCCATGCTGCAGTATTCCTTTGGAATTCCTCTCCTTCAAGGAGATTCCCCCTTTGGATTCCCCATCTCACTTCCCCCCCTACAGGTGCCCAAGGGCTCAAGCATTTCAATTCCCCCTCAGCTGACACACGGCCACCATTAGACTCCAGAGTGAACACCCTTCCAGCCGACGAGGGGTGTGTGTGTGGGGGGGGCTCAAGCCCCGCCCCGCGCGTTCCGATTGGACGTCCCGCAGGAGGGGGCGTGGCGGGGGCGGAGCCGCCGGCGGAGCGCAGGGGAGGAGGGGGAGGGTCAGTGGCGCGCGCGCGCGGGGGCCTCTGAGGCGATCGGAGCGACGCCCGTTACGCGAACGCGCCTCGGCCTCGCCCGCTGCGCCGCCCGGCCTCGCCCGCCGCYTCCGCGCCCCGGGAGGGAGGAGAGAGAGGGAAGGGGGCGGGTGGGTGCGCGGAGAGCCGGCGAGGGAGAAGAGCGAGCGAGAGCCGCCGCGGGGAGCGGAGCGAGCGCGGGGCGGCGGCGGCGGCTCCTCCATCATGTCGGCGGGCGGGGACTTCGGCAACCCGCTGCGGAAATTCAAGCTGGTCTTCCTGGGCGAGCAGAGCGGTGAGTCACCGCCCGGCCCGGCCCGGCTCGGCCCGGCCCGGCCCGGCCCGGCGTCCCCGCAGCAACCGGCCGGCAACCCCCCCCCGCCGGGCCCCCGGCATTTTATTTATTCCTTATTATTTTAAGCCCCGGCAGCCTCATCTCTGGGAGCAGCTGCTGATTCATTGAGCCCGAGCGCACCTGGTTTTGCTAGGAAAGGAGTGATCAGCCCCTGATATCTCCCGCCTCAATATTTTATCGATATATATTTATGCATATGTGCATAATATAATTATATACGCATCGACGCAGTTTATTTTTGAAAACTGAGTCTGGGTGCAGTGGATGAGGCGCTCTAAATATTTAAACGTGGCAAATGAGATTTGTTTTTCCTCCCCCGTCTTGGCTGGGAGGGGAAGGAGAAACCTGGATGTCTGAAGGCCTCTGTCTGCTGCATTAAATCCATCCCCCCCCCTTTTTTTTATTTTTTTTTATTTAGGGAATTTTATTTATTTATTTATTTATTTTCTGTGAAGGGAAAAAAAGGAAAAGACATTAATTTGTGGGATGCTTCATGATCCTGGCYGAATTTTGAGGATTTATTTTCATATAATGAGGAGGAGGAGTGGAG